AGGCTGCCAGGGAAGAGCTGGGTGAGAAAGAGCTGGGTGGCCTTTGTTTGGGAGCTGCTCAAGCCCTAGTGCCTGGCCTGAGCTGTGTTAAAGGCACATCTGCACCCAAGCGTGTACCCCACTGATACTGACCTGCTGAGCTGGCTTCCTGGCTTGACCTCAGCCCTTCCTCATCACTACAGACTTGCCTGGATGAATACTGGACTCTTGACTGACCCTGGTCATCAGCTCTGCTCTCCTTGCTCAGGTAGTATGGAACTATGCCCTTCACTGTAGAGGTTCCCTTTGCCTTGCTTTTACCTTCAGCAAAACAATGTTCTCTTGCTGCTCCGTGACAGTGAGAAGGAATAGCCTGCCTCAACTATCACTTCATTTCTAATATGGGGTAAATCCTGTTTGATCATCAATGCATTTTCTCTACTACAACCTCGATAGGAATAGCTGCAACTCCTTTTCTGTTCAAATTGTACTTCCCATCCTTTGAACGCTGTACACATTTGATACCAACTCACCATGTTTCCTAATACAGTACTGACCAAGTCTCACTCCCCTCTTCTTGCAGTATCTAACAGAACTCTTGCACGTGGTGTTAAATGGCTGCAGAGCCCTGAGTAAAAGGATAAAAGGAAGTGCTCCGCCATCTGCTCAGCTGGACTTCATAGGAAGACCTGTGAGCTTGAAATCCAATCAGGAACCTTTTATCATTTTCTGCCGAGACACGCAGTAGATTCACAAACAGAAATTCTAACAATCCACACAAGAGACCCTTAAAATATGCAAGCATATTCAAGAACTGAAGTTCACAGCACACAGCAGAGCTGTACTTGTCAGGCTAGACGGCAACAATACAATACATCCAGGAACAGAGATGAGCTGAAAGGTTAGTTCAAAAGTAAAGCTATATAAATATGCCAAATGTGTTATCCATGCTCTGCCCTGGCTTGCCAGAGAGGGAGGGAAAACAGAAGGTACTGAAAGGTCTGATCTGCATCCATTATCCAAACAAAATTAAGAGGAAAAAAAAAAAAAAAAGCCTGAAGTGCAAGGATCAGCAACACAATAGAAAACCTCTACTTCTTCAGCCCTATGCTGCTGCCCACCACCAAAACTACCCAGTTTAAGTGGCAGACAGAATTTCCATGATAGCCAAGTCCAAGGCCACAAACCCACAAAAGATGTATGAACTTCAGCACTTTAATTCCCTGCCTCAACATGACAGGCAGAAAACAGCAGACAAAAATAAATTTAGAACCTCCATTTTTCCATTAGGAACACAAAAATAAAATACAGAGAAAACAATAATACAAGCCAAGCTAGTCACTAATATTATGTCATTTTGCAAAAGCATTTTGATAAACAGAGTACAATATAAGAACCTGAAAGCTGTGGTTTTATATTGGTTAAGATTTAAACAGTCTCCATCGTAGAAGACTAAGATGGAAGAGAGCTTGTTTGCTACTTAATCTGTCTTGGAAAGAAAGGAGCTCACTGCACAAGTCACATACAGCTCCTCATTGTCTTAACCACATTTCTTATCTTGGCAAAAATATTGAACAATACATAGCCCTAGTGATGTCCACATCACGTCCCAAGGTTCACTCGTTAGCTTAACTGAAGCAGTGGCACACTTTTTTTGTCACACTTGAGGAGTTCATTTAATTAAACAACATAGTGTCACTCTTCAAGGGTTTAAATGGATATTTATTTATTCCTTACCTCCTCCCACAACACAGAACCCAGGCTAATGGTTTCTGCAAACGCTGCAACTAAAAGTGCTCTAAGTATTAATCTACAGTTAAAATTCTTTGCCTTTTTTTACGTGACAGTTTACAGAATTATCCATAATAAAGGCTCCCTACTTTCAACATCCTAAAGAGTGCAGACTAAGCAATTTGCATGAGTTCTCTTCACTTCATTCACAGGTGTAGAACTTCAGGAAACTTTGCTTCCACACAATCTGTATCACATACAGAAATATATCTGCTGTTAAATTTTGCCATCAGATAGTGAAAAGCAAGTAGAACTAGCAGACAATCCTGTTTGCCAACCTGTCATCATGCTGATTTACTGTGACAACTTTTTCTCTATATAATGTGTCTGCCATAACCACAGCAAGAACTCCCCTGAACTAAACTTCAGCTGCATCTTCAGCTCATTAGAACTGAGGCAGCTGACATCCATTATTAGAAAAGGAAATCTCCTTTTCACCCAAAACCTCACCCCATCAAGGGGACTAAATTTCTTTAGTTAAGAGAAAAATAATACCCCTTCAAAATCAAGTTTAAATTTATTCCCAGCAGTTTATTTCACACAATTTGAATACCTAAATAATTAAACATTGGATTTTAAATATGATAGTAAATGGGGGGAGTAAGGAGGGAGGAATGGAGAATTATAACTGGTCTTCCTAACAGCGTATTCATTTAAAGACATCTGGTCTTGTACATACTGAAAACTAAAACATTTAAGTAAGGACTAAAGATGAATGCTATATATTCTAGTTCTCCTAGCCAAGCCTTTAAGAAAAAAAAAACAAACAACACTTTACCCTCTAGGCACTTAGGAACCCAACTCACATGTTTTGTCATATTTGGACAAGAGAAGGACAATTGTTTTCCACATCTTACCTGCGCATTGGCTTTCCGTCCATGCACCGTGAAGAGAAGCCTTCACCCTATGCTTCAAGACCTGATCCAAAAGAGAAAAAAAAAAAAAAAAAGAAAAAAAAGGAAAAAAAGGGTGATACTCTGAATCAAGAGAACCTTCTTTCCTATCTTCAGTCTGGCTTTAAGATAGCAGAACTGACCACATCTGTGTACTAATATGCCTTCAAGCTCTTATCCAGCTATAAAATTCACAGCCTAGATTAACGATGCCTGGATTGCAGAGAATAAAGCAGAAGAAAATATAATCATCATTGAAAGTAATTTCACCACAGCTGCATAATGATTCTGTAGGCAAATGGAACACACACATCATAAAGTTAGTAAACTGTCTGCCTCCCTGAATCCTTAAAATTGTTCTACCAAAGATAAAAATATCTCAAATAAGTGTGCTCACTCTCGCTCCTTGCCCAGAGCCAGGAGGTATCTCTCCCTCATACATTTACCAGATTTAAGGCAAGCTGGCACCTAATAAACAGCACAGTGCTGTTCAACAGCTACACTGCAGGGCCAGAATTTGATATGAGATAAAACTTGTGTCTGGAAATTGAAGATAACTATGTGCCCCAGAGGTAAGAGGAATGCTAATAATGGTACTACATCTGCAAAGATTAATGATGCTGCCTGATGCTCACTACACTTCCACTCCAAATATTCCTTTTCTGAGGAATAACAGTTGCAAACTGCATAGGCCTTCCATATTCAACCACTAACTTCTAATTCTAATGTAGATTAACCATTTTTTACAAGGGCATCACTCATTCTGATTTCATTTTTAATGACTATTCAATTAGGAATAAATTTAATTCAGTCATTATTTAAAGCAATAAGCCTAACTTTTCGTTATGTATTAGAAGAACAGAAGGGTGCTCTGCTTCCATATTTATATTCACAGACTTCTTTCCATCCAGAAATGGACCGAGAAGTGGGAAACCAGTGAAACTATAGGAAAAGCAATGACAGAATGAGACTGAATGACACTTAAAATAAACAAAAGTAAAATTTAAAACAGAAATACTTAAATTTAACAAGAATAAAATCATTTTTGGAAGACTGTGATTGTCAGATTGGAGCCTGGCATCCAACAACAACAAAATATTTTTGGCACAATTGGAATTAAATTACAAAAACGCATTTATTTGGCTACATGAAGAAGCACCTTATTTTATATGCATTCTCTAGGCACATTATCACAGAAACACAATCGGAGCAGTTTGCCAGTTAATGAAAAATAAGCTCAGACTTGCCGTCTTCCACAGTTGCAAATTAATCAGGTTCGTACTTTCCTGCAAATAAAGAAAGTCAATTCCTCCTGGTTAGGGCATCGCATACCAATTTAAATCCGAGCTGTGACTGCCCATCCTCTCCCCAGCACCGAGGGGTTCCCTGGAAGAGCCGGCCTCAGGGCGTGCAACGGCGGGGGAACACCAGGTACCCCACGGTAATGCTGCACCTGGGCAACTGCCCGTGGGCCACAGCGCAACCAAGAGCCGCTCAGAGCACTTGGCACATGCTAGAAAACGTGGACGATGCTATTCTTAGCCCCCTCATTGCACCAGGTTTAATCCCTTTAAGTTCCACGTTAAAAGTCGTGGGGCGAGAGAAAGAAAAAACACACCCACACAAAAAAACAAAAAAAAACAAAAAAAAAAAACAACAAAACACCACCAAACAAAAACAAACAAAACACACACACACACACACACACACACACCCCCCACATTTCTGTCCGGGCTCCTCGATTTAGCGTTCTCCGCGGAGCAGCAACTGGACGAAACGCCGGTTTTCCCAGCAAAGCGTGGCCCCGGTTCAGCAGCACCCGCAGGCACAAGCCGGCTCTCCGAGGCGTGAAGCTGCTCCCGCGGGACGGCCACCGCTCTGCTCCCGGCCCCTGAAGCCCCTCAGCCCGGCAGCCCACGGCCACCGCTCCGCTCCGGGCCCCCGAAGCCCGGCAGCCACGGCGAGCAGCGGGCAGGGCCGCGGCCCGCCCGGCCCGCAGGAGCAGACCGAGCCGAGCCCGAGGAGCCGGCCCCGGGAGCGGAGGGCCCAAGGCCGCGCTGGACGCCGCGACCCGCACCACCGCCCGGTGCCCCCCGCGCCGCAGCGGCCGCCCCGGGAAGCCGCCCGCCGTGCCCCGGCCCGCCCCGCTGCCGCACTCACTCGCTCGCCGATTCCCTCGCTGACACCGGGCGCGGGGTCCGCCGCAGAGCCGCGGTCCCGCAGCAGCCGTGCCGTGCCGAGCCCACCGCGCCCGCCCCTCCTCAGCGGCAGGAAGCGGTGCGGCCCCGCCAACCGCCGCCGCCGTGCAGCCGGGCCGCGCCCGCCCCTTCCGCCCCCGCCCCGGCCCCCCGCTACGGGCAGGGCCCGGGCGCGGCCTGCTGCGGCTGCGGCCTGCCCTGGGAGGTGGCCGAGGCCCGGGAGCGGTCCGTGGCGACCGGGTGCGTGTGTCCCCGTCAGGCGGCAAGGACGCGGGGGGGGGGGGGATGCCCGCGCCCTGGCCGGGTGCCCTGGAGGGGTTTTGAGAGGAACCCATGTCCCTGTCGGGTGGCAGTGGCCGCTGCGTGCCCAGGGCCAGGTGAGTCACATCTCCCCACCCGAAACAATTCCACACATTGCGAGTAGAGAGGATGTAGGTTGTGCTAGGTTGGTAAAAGTTGCGTCAGTAGGCTCTGCCAGTGGTCCAAGGTCAGCAGTGGCAAATCGAGGATGTTGTAAACAATACCAACAGCTTCTTCTATTACGCATTTGTGAAATGATACTTGAATGATGCAGCTACTGTTCAGTTGACAAGGAACAGCAAGGTACAGATAAAAATAAGGACAGCACAGTAGGTACCATGGTCCTTCACAGTTGAGCTTTCGATAGAAAATGAAATGAGGAAGATCAGCACAGCTAATGTGAAAAAAATGATTCCGCGAGTGCACTCCAGGTTAGCCCAAGCTAAAGAATCTGTCCAAGTTACAATTCCTTACCTAAAGGGACAAAAAGATCATCCAGTCTTGAAAATTACCCAAGCCTCAGTGATAGTTAAAGGAAATCTCCGGTTGGACATGGTTTGCCTTATACTTGGTGAATTAATAAAATGAGCCATAGAATCTTTTAGGTTGGAAAAGACCCTTAAGATCATCAAGTCCAACCATTAACCTAACACTGCCAAGCCCACCACTAAATCATGTCCCTAGGCACCAGATCTACATGTCTTTTAAATATCTTCCGGGATGGTGACTCAACCACTTCCCTGGGGAGCCTGTTCCAAAGCTTGACAACCGTTTTAGTGAAGAAATTTTTCCTACTATCCAATCTAAGCCTCCCTGGTGCAACTTGAGGCCGTTTCCTCTTGTCCTATCACTTATAAAGTAAGTTGTGAGTGTGCCCCTGATCTAAACAGGTGTGCCACCACTCAATTTGTGTGGCTCGTTCACTCTCAGTTTGATTGGTAAATCTGCTAACAGTCTTACTTGGCTTGTCTCGTGCGGCACTCATTTGACTTCCATGTCAGGCCAAGTCAATAAGACCTGATGCCATTCAGGGTCTTAACTGTCAGGGCTTACTTCTTGCAGTCTGTTGGAGCACTTGTAGAAGGCAGATTTCCACAGGTAGCCTATCTGCATAAAACCTAATTTTCCTGTCCCCGTGGCCCCCTTCCCAACAGATCTCAAATCAGGGGACGTAGCAGAAATGTCCCGAGGACTGGGATCACCACCTTGGTCTTTGGCTCAGTGCACTGTTGCAACAGCTGCTTGTAACAATGCTCCCTGCGATTCTTCTTGGCCCTGCCAAGAGAACATGGATTCCTCACCCCAGTCTTGATAATGGACCCTCTTGCCCATCTAATAGTCAGAATCCATAAGGTCCAAGCAGCATCTTCCTGAGAGGGTGAGGGAAATTCAAGGGGCTAGGTCTAAATCTACTGCCTCTCTTGCAAACAGACACTCTTCCTGCCCTATCACACCAAAGTTTGTGCAGCCATTCAACTGTTGATTCTTCAGGTTGTTTTTGATATGTTACCTGAATTTTTCACAGATCATCAGTATTGAAATAATGAACTTCAGTGGTATCCCACCTCTGCAGGGCATCTACAAGTGGGTCATGAGTAGTGATTTCTTGTTTAATCAGAGGCCATATTGGACAGAGGCATTTACTTTACTTACTTCCTCATCAGACCCATCTAGCCAATTCCAAATATCTCCATCCCAGTTGCTATCATACATAGCTGTGCAGACTTTTATGGGGTCCAGATGGCTACCTTGTACTAACATTTCTTGGTGGTTTCTTGATTTCTCTATAACCTGTGGCACAATTTTTCGAGATGTGCCCTTTGCCCAGACTCAATGCTAGCCTTTAATTTACTTCTCAATCCTTCATTAAAAATTCACTCTTCCACTTTCTGATTTCTTTTTCAGATTTCTCAGCCCGTTTGTTATCAATTTTCCATATTGCCACTAAAAACTAGCACATCCTTCCCTCTGTCTCTCTTTATTTTACACAAATCCTTCCAATTACTGAATTAATTGCATATGGCATTGAGATCATAGCTTATTGCCCTTAGTCAGTCCTTATTGCACTTAGGATCTTGCCATCCTTTTTCCATAAAACCCTTTTGCAATAGATACCATTTCTCATGGGAATCAGTTCTCATTCTAACTCAAAGATTCTGCCTACTACGCCTATTAATTCTGTCATCCAGCACTGTGGGGACAGCCACATTTGTCAGGGAAACTCAGTAGAACAATGACACAAAAAATTGCTGATCCAACCCAAACTTTATTTTAACTTGGGACATATGCAGATTGGGTCCTTTTACAGAACTAGTATTGGAGGCCCTCTGCAGATCAGGTCATTTTAACAAACCAAACATAACTTGAGCACAAAGTACACATACAAGACTCACTCAAACCTCAGAGGAAGCAGCCAACAGTGAAGGTGACACAAAACACGGGGGGACCATGATCCTGCCATCCAGTAGCAGCATCCTTGGTCTAAACCCCATCTGAGTTCCCAGGCACCCAAGAACCCTTTAAAGGAAAACTGGGGGCACGACAAGCTTACCCACAGTAAAGGCCATCTACCCCACAATATGGCACACTGAGAGTTAAGAGCAGGGGGAACAGTTCACAGGGCCTGATATAATTACCCACAAACACAGAGCATAGGGTTCCGAAACGGGACTTAACAACCACCCCACCATGGTGATGTCTGAGGTACATGGTGTGTGTGATGTACCAAGAGGAACAGTAAGCATCCTGAGCAGAGTGCCCTTTCCCACTGAGAACCCCTGCAAGTTTTCCATCTCACCCTAAGGTGCAATGGACAAAGCATGCCCAGGAAACCATGGGTTAAGTCCCACCATAAAAAATTCAAGATTAACCACATTCCTCATTCTAAACAGTTAAGATTTTTGTCCAAGCCAGCGACCTCCTGCCTTGCCCCTTCACGTGGGCGGCCACTTTGCCTTAGCCCTGTTGCAAGTGGCCTTAACATCTTTTCTATCTGGTCCATACCCACTATGAAAAACCATTCAGATATCATACAGCAAGATATCATTAAGATCAAGACCCTGAGCTCCAGGTGGACCAGCAGATTTGGCCTTCTTAGCCTCCAGAGCTGGACCGAAGACAGGTTAGATGCCATCCTTGAGGGCCTGAAAAAACAAACTCTTGTTGCCGAGAGCTGGGCTGCCAAATGGCCTGGCAGCTTTGGCCTCCGCAACCCGCAACGCTGGGTCAGGTTCAGGATGGGTGATGATCCTGGGGACCCAAAGCAACGGCCCGTGGATGCAGAGAGCATGGCCTCTGACCTGCCCTACCCTCTGCGCCGGCTCTGGTTCTCCCTGGCCCGGGTGGACAAGTTCTGCCTGTTTCACCGGGCCTGCAAGGCCGTGGGGGTGCTCTGCATGGCTTGGATCGCTCTGCGCCTGTGGGGAAATGGGAAGAGACCCCAGCGAGAGGTGAGCGTTCGAGAGCAGTCTCGCAGGAAGGGACAGCGGGCGGTGGGCAGCGGGGTTCCCCGCTACAGCCGGGGCCCAGAAGGCCTCAAGCGGTGAAAACCCAAACGCCAGTGTGGGCAAGAAAGCCTCAGCACGCCCCGAGAGGTCCTCAGAGGCCTACTTGCCTGCGCTCACGCCAAGCCGCAGGGCTGAATCCCTCCGGGAGCCCCAGCACGACACGGGGCCTGCCGCAGGTTTCCTCAGCCCAGCGTGCTGCCCGGAGCAGTCCTGCCGGGCTGGAGCTCCTCCACGGGAAGACAAGCCCAGCAAGGACATTCCTTGACTCCTCAAACCAACCCCTGACTGGTTCACTGTGCCATGTCCCTATCTTTATTTCCAGGGTAGGAGACGGACATCCTCATCTTCAACAGCAATAGATTTCTTGATAAACGGCAACTACAACAAAGCCAAACTGATCTGCTGGGTAAAGGCCAACACGGCCCAGCTGGTCACGTGCCTGCGGCTTGTCAGACGCCTCCACATGAAAGACATCCGGCACCGGTCCTGTGAGAAGAAGGTGCGAGGAACAGGTAAGAAGAGGAGAGGCTTCTCGAGCTCCTCGTGCAACCCCGGCTGGGGCAGCGTGTGCCCGGCGCATTGGCAACGCGAAAGGCAGCGGTGCAAGCGGGTGCTGCTGTCCACGCGGGGTGGGAGCTGGGGCCGGAGAGAACAGGCACCCGTGGCCGTCAGGTGCCCACGCACGGGTGCCCAGGGCCCAAGAGGAGGGGCCCGCACCCTGGCAGGGTGCCCACGTCCCCGCCAGGTTCCCGTGTGGCGGTTGCTCCCCGTGGCCCTGTACGGTGGCCCTGGCCAGCGCCTGCCCGCGGCCCACGGGCTCCCTCAGGCCTGAGCACCTCCGAGGCTGGGGCGAGGGCAAGCAGCACGGCAGGAGGAGGGGCGGGTGTTGGGAAGCGGGTGGAGAACAGTTCCAACCGTCGCCTTGTCATCCAGCTGACAGTGAACTCTCTGCAGGGTGGCAGCCAGCTGGTGCGTCGGGACACGCCTCAGCCCACCGAAGGCTCCCGCGGCTCTGCTCAGAGCAATAAAGTGGATCGTTACACCGGTAGCACGTGGCATTTCTTTGGTGGCGAGGGGCTCCAGGCACGCAGCAACACGGAAGGCAGTGCTGCAAGCCAGGCTGCTGGCTGCGGGCTTGCTCATTGTGCCCTGCGGGAGAGGTGGGAGAGCTGGGCTGGGAGGGAACGGGCATCCATGGCGGTGAGGTGCCCCGTGGTCCCGGGGAGGGCCCCACATGCCAGCAGCGTGCCCGTGTCACTGTGAGCTTCCCAGGGGGTGCCCACATCCCAGCGAGGTGGCCATGGCTGCTGTGTGCCAAGGGCCCCATGGCTCATGTCCCTCCACAAATGATGCCAGTCTAATCGCCCGCCTCTCTCGCAACGGTTCAGAGCAGCTGCGTGCAGTAGAGTCAAAATGGCTGAGGCTGGATGGCACCTCTGGAGGCCATTTTGTGCTCGTTCCCTGCTCAGGCAGGGCTGCCTAGATCCACTCGCCCAGCACCTTGTCCATCTTGCTTTTGATTTTCTCCACATATGGAGACTTCACAACCTCTCTTGGAAACCTGTGTCAGTGCCCATTACCCTCACATCAAAAAAGTGTTTCCTGATGTTCAGAGGGGGCCTCCTGTTTTCAGCTTGTGCCCCTTGCCTCATGTCCTGTCACTTGTGGTGTCCTTTTTTCACCCTCCCTTTCTGTTGTTTATGTACATTAATAAGGTCCCCCCTCAGCCTTCTCCACTCTGAAAAGTCCCAGCTTGCTCAGCCTTTCCTTATAGGAGAGGTGCTCCAGTCTCTTCATCATCTTCACGGCCTTTCACTGGACTGACACCAGTAGCTTCACCTCTCTCTCGTACTGGGCTCTCAGAAATGGACACACTACTCAGGTGTGGCATCACCTGAGCAGAGGGGAAGGATCACCTCACTCGACATGCTGGCACCACTCCCCTCAACGTGGCCCAGGATACCGTTAGCTGCCTTTGCTGCAAGGGCACGTTGCTGGCTCATGGTTAACCAGGACCCTCACGGCCTTTTCAGCAAAGCTGCTTTCCAAATGGGTGGTCCTCAGTATGTGCATGGGATTGTTGTTCTCCACGTTCAGGACTTTGCACTTCCCTTTGTTGAAAATCAGAAGGTCTCTGTCAGCCTGTCTAAGTCCCTCTGGATGGCAGCACAATCCTCTCGTGTACTAGCTACCCTCCCAGTCTTGTGCCGTTAGCAGAGTTGATGAGGTTACACTCTGCCCCATCGTACTGGTCTTTAATGATGTTGAACAGGATTGGACCTAGTATTGACGCCTGGGCTACACCAGTAGTTACTGGTCTTCAACCAGTTTTCATACCACTGACCACCACACTCTTGGGACCAGCCATTCAGTGAGACAGGTTTCAATCTATCTCACTGTCTGCTCATCCAGCCCATATATCAACAGGTTCATTATGGGGATCTCATGGGAGACCGCATCAAAAGCCTGACGGCAGTCAAGCTAGACAACATGCACTGCTCTTCTCTCATCTACCAAGCCAGTCATTTCATCATACGGGGTTAAGGGACTGCTGAACCATGACTTCCCCTTCATGAACCCATGCTGACATAAAGCGATTTGCCACAAAGTGATTTATCCCTTTGTAAAAGCACTCTCACCTGTGCCCGATACCCCGCTAGTGTTATAGTGTTAATGCCACCCTGCCTGTAAGGTCTTTTGATGAAATTCACTTGGCTGCCATCTGTTCAAGAGATTTACTGGGAAGGGCTGAACTCTTTAATCTCTCTGCTGCTCTGAGAGCACAGAGGGGTTTCGCAAAAGCAACCTGAGCCATGGGTGCACCAGGACCTGCTGAGAGCTGGCTGGCCAGCCAAAAGCCAGAGCCACTGCCTTCAGCATCTTCTTCACCAAAGCACGCTGTGCCAGGAGCTTTGCTCCAGGTCTGGCTTTGACTTGCAGGACTAAGATGATGTTGGCCGAGTCTGCTTCCACACTGGGACCACAGCCAGCAACATGCAGCACCAAACAGGAGGCAAGAAACACCAGCATCCATTTGTTCTGTCTTTATTTACAGGGGAGAGGGGGCCAGTATCTCCCCTTGAGAGCTGTCTTGGCTGCTTAAGCCCCGAGAAGCCTCACCAGCTCTGCAGGGCTTTTGTCCCTCTCGCCTATGGCTGTACCTAGAATTAGCCAGTGCCAGCCCCTGATTATGAGAAAGCTGACGTGCCTCCGGGAGCGTCTGCCGACAGGGAGGGGTATAAGGGGCTGCCATGCGCCCCCATTACAGATCAAGAGGGAATGAGTTTGCCCCAGCAGCAGTCACCGGGGGAGGCGTTTCCTTTCTTGTTCTCTGTTAAAAATCAAAGCTTAGTCAGCTCACATGGGGCTGGAGAGTAATTGGAGCATTGAGTGTCTAAGCTCTTCAGCTTTTAACCACGCAGAGCAAAACCAATGCTCTGGAAAGTCTGAAAACCATCAGAGGGAGCAAGGCGAAGCGTCCCTGCTCCCGGCTTCGTGGGATGCCTGTGAGACTTTGATTATGGTGGGGCACGTCAGTCCCAGCGGTGTGGGCCAAAGGATCTTTCCTGGCCACCATCCCACCGCATCCCCTTCCCTGGCTCCCACCAAGCCCCTGCCCCAGCCCAACTGCCCCACCTTGCTCTCCAGGCATCCCCAGACCTGCAATGCAACCCCACCAGGCTCTCCTGGGACACAGTCGTTGTTGCAGCACTACCAGGTTAGGGATGATGAATTCTTACCCTGGCCAAGGGAGGGCACGCCCTGGGGACGACATACTGCAAAGGACACAGTGTCCTCCACCAGGAAGCAATGCAAAGGGGCACAGGCCAGGCAAGAGCATGCTCTGCAAAAGGGGAGCAGAGGACTGCTGGGCACCCAGTTTCACGCTACCCAGCTGGGACCTGTCCCACGTGGGGATGCTAAGCAGCCCAGGAACCGCTATGCACTGCTGCCGCCCCGCTCACACGGGCCGCCTTTCATCATCTGTTACCCTTTTCTTTCTGAAGAGGCCGGTTCTCCCTTAACCACATCCCCCCCAGCCAACAGCAAAACCCTTCCAAGTGAAGAACGACAGACACACCTCTGACCTCCTGCAAGCCACCTCCAGGCTTAGGGTGGAGCTCGGGGCTTGGCAAGGAGTCCCACCACACACATGGCCACTGAGCTCCCGAGGGGATAAACGTCTCCACGTGCTTTCCCCAGCCAAGCCAGGCAGTGAGACTGCTGAAGACACAAGCTGCCATGTTTATATGGTCACATACCCCAACATCATCCACCAGGCCCTTGCTGGAGGGTGTGACAGCAGACCCGCACCTGTGCTGGGAAGGGATGTCAGACACAGAAAAGGTTGCTGTTGAGGGACTGAGACCTGGAGGTGCAGTGACAGTCTGGGGAGGTATTTCACATCATTCTCCCAACTCCCAGTGGCACCGGGCAGTGCTTGCCAGGCAAAACCAGGCTGCTCGCACCTGAACAGCAATGGCAGGAGGAGGCAACCCCAGCCCAGTCACAAATCCAGGCCACACTCAAGCTGCCACCTCTACCACAGCCTGTCCCTTCCCTGGGGTGGAGTCCACTGCAATACTAAAGCAATTATTGAATGCTCTTCCTTCCTTACTGCCTTTGAGGTGAAGACCCTGACACCGACTTCTCCCACGACCCTCCACCCAGCCTCCTCCCAGCAACACTGAGCCTGGCAAATACCTTATGGCAAGTAATTTTCCGTTATTCTGCATTTACACAAAAATAGAGCAATTCTATATTTATAGAGATTTATAGCCGGTTCCGTGCTGGAGGAGTTATTGAGCAAGGCCAGGAGCTGTGGGCGGTCCAGGCTCCCGAGCAGCCGGCTGCTTCTCATTCGGCATTTCCAACATACAAAATTAAAGGCATTCGTCTCCGTCTGGTTTCTTAAATAGATAAGGGGGGACTGAACGGACAGTATGTACAGAGGGGCAGTGGCAGCGCCCGAGCGCCCTCCGACCCCAGCCTCACGCCTGCCGCCGGGGGTCAGTGAGGCCGGCTGCTGGACTCTGAGGGCTGCCGCTGGCGGGGAGGAGTGTAGCCGTTCAGGTAGCCGTTGCTCTGGCGTTTGCTGAGTCCTCCGTTAAGAATGTCCTGGATGTGCTGCACTATCAGGTTTATGGCCACTGTGAGCAAAAGGGAGGGAAAGACAACGAGGGGAGAGATTGCATTAGGACCAGTGCAATTAAACCAGAGCCAAGCCAAGAGCTGATGACCCTGCTGCCTGCCCTGCTCCCATCACATGGCGGGGAGCTGCCCCCCTGGGACTTCATCCCTCTGTCCCAGCTGAGCCCGGCACTCAAGCCAGGATGGTCAGGCTGATTCCAGCCAGGTGGAGACCTGGCTGTCCCAGCTGCACGCCTGGCCTTGGAGAAGCACATTTCCCTCTGTGTGGGATGAACCAGGAGTTTGCCTGGAGGTACTGCACACAGATGGGCTATCAGGCTTAATCAGAGGAGGACAAACTCCCAGTCACGAATGCTCCAGGCAGGAGCAAAGGGGAGAGGCTCATCCCAGCGTGTGTGTGGTAACAGCACTCTCTCCGGTGGCAGCAGCCTGAGTCACCTTCGTGGCAGGTCCTGCTACCTCCTACCTAACCCTGCCGCAACAGCAACAGCCTAAAGCCAGCTGCCAGGACATAATGGCAGGGCCTGGGCCCACTCACCTTCATTATCTGCTCCTCTGGGAATGATCACGTCAGCATACTTCTTGGTCTGGGAGGAGAGAGAGCACCGTGTTACGGAGAAAGTGGAGAGCCACCAAGCTGGGGCATTGTCCCTGCTTCCTGGGACAGGTCTTTCCCCTCCCCTTGTCAAACCCAAACCCGCTGAGAGGTATGTCATTAATAATACATTTTGGATGCTCTTATTTGTCTTCTGCTCTGTGTTTTGAGGGCCATGCTTTGCACCTTGACTTCATTTTTATGAGTTCCTACAGATTCCAGTAAGAGGCACCCTAACAAAACCTGAAATTAAAAAGCCTCACGATCGCAAGACTCCAGCAGCTGATGCTTTCGGGAACAACCTCCCCCCTGAATCCAGCCAGACTTTGTACAAGAGCAAAGGTTGGCATGCCTGGGCTGTGTGGACATGCAGGGCACAGCCATATGATCTGCCTGGGATGAGGGGAGAATTTTCTACCAGCATCGCTTGCAAAAAAGGTCTGATTCGCGACACCAGTCCTGACCTATTTTCACCTGCAGGTGCCAGTCTCAGTTTCCTCCCCTATTTGTGTCAGCTTTTACAGCAGATCAGCTTCCTGACAGCCAAACTCTACGGGCAGTAAATAAGCCAGCACGCTGGGCGAAGGGTGTCATCTGACACCTCCAGGTGCTTACAGCCGTATCAAAAATCACCAGGATATGCTGGACCCTTTCAGGGCTGGACCACCTGGCGCAGAGCTGGTTTAGGAGTCGAGTAACAGCAACAGCAGGTGCTGAGCCTGCTCGACATCCGCATGCAATTGCTCTGCAGCTGAGCCCACCGCCAGGTCGGAAGTGGAAGCAGACCACTGCAAAGCTGGTGGGTAAGGAGCAAGCAGTCGTTTTGTAACCTCCTCATTTAACATTTCGTCCTCCTACGGACTCTTCAACAGAAGAGGCTGATGCAGCATCCGCTACTTTGCAAAGCTGCGGGTTTACCTTGCTGGGGAATAGCAAGGAGGAGAGCCACCAAGCTGAACCTGCCTCTCAAGGAAAATCTTTCCTGGGATTACACTGGAATTGAGCCTGGGTTCCCAGAGCCACAGCTGTGCAAAACAGAGAAAAGGGTGCTGCCTAGGAGACAGGAAAAGATCTCGTAGCACAGAAACAGTCACCCCTTCTTGTGGGAAAGGGCAGATCTGGCCACATAGACAGGCACAGAGACATTCCTGAGGCTGGAGGAACAGGTTCAATTCCTGCCTGTGGTGCTGGCCAGCAGTTCCCAGACTGCAGGACTCTGCTGGCCCAGTTGTTCCAGAATAAGAAGAAATTCCTCACATAACTACCACATCTGCCTGAAAAGCCTTGGGAACCAAGGCACCGGCTCCTCTCCATAAGAGCCAGGAGAGGTGTGCAATGGCTAGTCCTGCAAATGCACAATTTCACCTGCAAGTTCTGCAGGACTGCAGTGGTCTCCCACATGCACAGTCTCTGTCTGCTAGGTGAGCCTTGCCTCGGTTATCAGCTCTCAAAGCAGCTTCCTTTCTCCAGGCAGACCTTGCAGCCCTGACCCCCCAAGCAAGGTCTGCCTGCTTTACTCCTTAGCCTCTCACCAGGGAGGCACTGCAACCTGCAAGGCCATGTCCCGCAGCACAGAGCAAAGGAAGAAGCCCCTCTGCTCTCCCGAGCACCCAGCCAGCCAGAAGCCAGCAGCACTCCAGACTAAAAAGGGCAAGCAGGACAGCCCCAAACAGGAGGCAGACACAGCGGACGCTGCCTGGGAGCAGGAATCTCCCCTTCCCCAGCTAGATGCAGCCAAGGATCTGCCCTGCTGGGATGGCATCTGCTGAGCTGCCTGGTGTTGGTTTGTCAGACCCTGTGCAGGGAGGGGCTTCTCTTGCCATGCTGGCCTTCCCACAGGGGAGAGTGATCTCACCAGCAAGGCAGTGACTGTATAAATAGTTCCAATCTCACCCTGCCCTGGCCAGCACTGGCACCCCCATTTTCACCAGTGCCTGTAGGGAGGGAGCGAGGTGAGGCAGGCTGACCTGAGCTCTGGGGCACAAAATGCTCCTGTCCGAGGAGCTGGGCAGGGTATGGGGCGTTTTTGCCAGACTCCCGTGGGTGTCACTCCCCTTACTTACTGGCAAACAGAACTCCTCGAAGGCAGGCTTGACAAAGGTGATGTACTGAGATAAGATCTGCTCGAGGTCCCTGCCTCGCTCGCTGATGTCTCGTAGCACTGCAGGGAAGATGCAAGGCACAGTCAGGAACTGAGACATGAATCGCTCCATCCCGCTTCCCTTCAGTACAGCCTTTGGCCAGCCACCCCAGTACTTTGCTCGAGATCTCTGTTCCTGGAAGCTGCTGCCCACACATCTGAGCACAACCCCCAGCCTAGCTACATGCTTTTAACCCGCTTCTAAGCTTTTCTGGGAGCCAAGGGCTGGATGACCCGGCCAAAGGCTTTTCTTGGCCTCCGTCCCTCGTCAGCTCTGCAAGCACATTCCAGCTGTAACCAGCACCACCCCGGTCCTGACTGTTCGCAGCCTCAGCCCTTACATCCCTCCTGTCACTCTGCCCTGCCCTTGGCCTAAGGATGGGGCATTCTCCCAGTCGTCCCAGTGCAGGAGTGCCCAAAGAATAGAAAAGCAGTGGGGTTCACCCATCCACTTGTTATGGCACAGTTTAAAAGTCAGGTCTGCAGAGGTGAGGAGGGTAAAACTCACCCACCTACCCAGCTCTGCCAGGCTCCCTGTGCTGTTCCCAGCCGAGTGGGATGGGAAGATGAAGCAGGCTCCCGCAGCCAGAGGCTGAGGGGGTGCTTGGAGGAGATCAGCTCAGGAGGAAGCCAGGAGAGCAAGCTGGGCTCCTGCTTGTTCTGCCATTCAGGCCTTACTCCCTGTTTGCACGAGGTATTTGGGCCATTGCCATCTCTGGTCCGAAGCCACTTCAGCACGGACAAGTGCCCCAGTTCAGCAGGAATTCAATTCACGGGTAAGAGCCAAAACAGCCCGGTGGCCAAGCAGACGGCTCTTGGCTCTCTCCAAGGGGCTGGCTGGCTTCTCCCCAGCACGCTAGTGCCTGGCACTGGGATCGGTGAGCCTTCTCCACGTGCCGAGCAGAGCCGAGCCACGGCACTGCCGCTGCCCGCGTGCTTGCAGGGCCAGGACAGTGCTGTTCTCCCAGTGCTGGTTTGGCACTGTCCCCGTGGCTCTGTTTGCCCCCTGCCAGTAGCTCTGCCGTGTGCCCTTCCGCAGCCCCGCACAGGGGAGGTGATGTTGGGAAAAAAGGGCTGGCAGCAGGATGTGTGCCAGCTCCCTGCCTGCTCCGGGAATGGCTCAGCCCAGCCCAGGCTGCTCTAGCCAGCTCCTTGTGTTCTCCAGAGAGCGGGAGCAAGCCCCAGCTCAAACAATACAGAAAAACAGGCAAGGAAAATAAAACAGAGACTTTTGTTTCCCGGGTTCCACACCCTGTTTGTTGGTTACTCTGGGGCAGGGCAGGAGCGAGGGTGTATTTAAAGAACACCCAGCCTGGGATGGTGTGCAAGAGGCCTGTGAGCTGCACAGGGTGAGGACCCAGGCTGCAGGGGCCGGTCCTGGCATGGCAAAACTCTCCTGCTTGCTCCCAGGGCAGACCACAGCAGGGCAATCGCTCCACAAACAAACACAAGTCCAAGCACCCGCTGCCTTGCACCCAACCCCAAAGAAACGGCTCCCAGCAACCCAGGCTAAGACCACGCACCCTATCTGGAGGTATCACCCTCCATTTTCAGTGCAGGCTGATGTCCCAAGGAGAGATCGGCACCCATCCAGAGCCAGCAGGCAGACATGACTCAAAACAGCCCTGAAACACCCACGTGAGACCTGACTTGGTCTTCGTTTTACAGAAGGTGGCCAAGGACAGGGCAGCGAGGGACCTCAGCCAGGATCAGCTTTGCACGGATCAGGCTGTTTGAGACAGCTGACAGACCTTGCCCCTTGAGCTCTGGTAGCAGCGTTTTTCTTAGGAGGTGCCGAGATGGGGACAGCGAGAGTTGCCTGTACTGAACCCCAGCACTATTAACTGACCTGTCAGCTACATTTCCATGAGCCTCATCTCCCACTGCTGCCCTGCTGGAAAGCCCCTTGCTGCAACTCCTCAGGACTTCTGGGAGAACAAGATGACTCAGGGCCATGTCACAATGCAAGATCCTGACTTTTGCTACAAGCTGCCTCCAGCTACATTTCAGGGACATGATTATACCTTCAGCACCTCACACACAGGCTCTCCTTTCCTAGAAATGCCAAGGAGGCATACAGTAAACAGATTTGCTGCTACAGTGGTCCTACCAACTGCTGATGGCAAGCCAGAAGACTGTCAAATGGTCAGCTCCCTATCAGGAGGCTGATGAGTTGCCCTAACTAGAAGACACCAGTACCTCAACCAGCCTAGCTGCCCCTTCACAAGGCTTTAGTGATTGATGGTGGGTAGGAAAAATACTCCAAGAATGGCCCAGGCCCATGGTGTTCAGGACCCTGTCTAACAGCTGCAGCGCAGTAGCGTTTAGCTCTGTATTGTGTGGGCAGATGGATGGTTTCAGTTTTTACTCGATGGGATCTCAACCAGTTCTCAAGCCCTGAGCTCACGGTTTTGTACCAAGTCCGAAGTGACTGAACCACACACTCCAGAGGACCACTGGGATCACACACAGTCATGTGGCACTGCAAATGCACAAGGGAATGCCTTGTCTTCAGACAGCTGATACAGGACACTGCCAAAAACTTGGCTGGATGTGAACCCAAGTTCCTGCACAGCACAGTCTGCCTAAGGGATAAGGCTCACATTGCAGTATCTTGCAAATGCGTATCTGTGACCTGCGAATACATCTCCCTGCAATGACTGTGCTGTCACCTCCCTGGATGAGTCATGCAAAAACAGTGGGCAGGGTCAAGAAGGATGCATAAAAAGGAGCTTTTAGTCAGCACTGATGACATCTCAACAGCGGAGGAGGCTGTGTATCTGTCTGACAGCAGGAGGGCAGGCCACACCAGCTCCATTGCGGAATGTAACAGTCCCATGCACACCAGCAGTCCCAGGCTGACGCACTGAGATCCTCCTCTCGTCACAGCACAGAAGGCCTGGACAGGACCTCTCCTCTAAGTCATCTTCTGCATCCCCAGACACCCTGTGAAGGCTGTTGGAGCCAGGCAGGGGTAGGGATAGTTCAGACAGAGCTGAATTCTGCCCCGAGAGTCCCCAAATGCTTTCTTAGTCATCCAGGAGTCTCAGGTGCTACATCAGTGGCCCCACTCCTAAAGGCTGCTGGAGTCCCTCCTATCCCAGCTGGCAACCCACAGCCGAGCCAGCTGGACGTGGGGAGTCCTATAGAGGGATATTCTGGTTTGTGTAGGGCTCTTCTCCCCCAAAAGCCACCACCCCCAGTGCCACAAAAAGGCTCCACGCTGCACTGGCTGTGCTTGCACAGACCAAGACGTACAACCAGACTCCCTGCCCGCATCACCCATGATGGACAGCCTCGCACCCAAACGCCATCCCCAGTGATCCCATGCCCCAGGTCCTGAGCAGATCTATCAGGCACTGCTTTCTGACCAAACTGTCGAGGTGCTTTGCCTTGCCCCTTGCACCCTTCCCCGCTGGTACCTGCTGACTGGCAGTAGCTGCCATTCAGCTGATGGCACAGGGCCATGCGAGGACACAGCATGCTCAGTAGTCACACTGCGGCATGCATCAAAGGAAGAATCCCAGACAAAGCAGCAAAACCCCCACCTGAATCCTAAGAGACGTGCAGCAAGGCGCTCTCTACCGCCATAAGCTGCCCTGTGTGACATTCTGCACCAGGGAGGAAAAACTCCCTGGCTCTTTGCTAACAGCAGCACCGCTTTGTGCCAATTCCAGTTCTGCTCTGGTCACTGTCACCGGCCTCTGCGACCAGCTGCCCAGAGCATTTAAGTGACATTTCTCTCCCTGCTGCACGAGGCACGTTCGGGCCTCACCTCTGCGGGACAGCCGGGTGTCTGCGTCCGTGTCTACAAAGAGCTTCATGCGGAAAAGATCCCGCACCTCCTGGCTGTAAAAGGCCAGGATGCCTTCGAAGAGCACCACGTCGGCAGGGTAGACGGTCACCGTCTCCTCTTTCCTAGCAGAGGGAAGGAGAGTCAGAATATGCCGGTGGGGGGAAACAAGCCAAGAGAGGTGGGAGGGGTGAAACAGCGGTGCTGCTAGGCACTGCTCCAACCCTGGGACATCGCTGCTGCACCAGTGGGGTGACCAAGGAGCAGGCAGACCTATCCCACCAAGGTGAAGAGAATCCAAGGCATACATACGCTTCCTAGAAGGACAAACAGCAGAGCAGAAAGCAGAGGAGCCCTTCCCCCCAACCTCAGCCAGCTGCTGCTTGCAAGTGTTACGTGCCAAGCCGTAAAGCTCAGAAAGCCTGTGCGTGGGGCTTGACCCACGGGAACCTGCAAGGAGCAGCTCTGCTCCCCTGGGAACCAGGCAGCACCCCCCCTTGACACCACAGTGTTCTTGTGGGAAATGGAGCAGGGTCACACCATCCACGTCCAACACAGGCATGCAAAAACAAGCTGAACACATGCGAGGGAAAAGTTACAGGAGCAAGACTGGACGTCCTCCTCCTTTCCTAGCAGTGCTGAGCTGTTTCAGCCTGGAATACTTGTTAAAGCTGCAAACACAGAGTTTATGGGGAGAGGAAGTGTGGATGAGGGAAGAAAAGGGGGGCTATAACCCCCTTCCGCTGATGCCTGTACGTTGCTGGATGCCACTGCATGGCTGTGCAGCTTTCTGGCCCCTCAGACTGTGCCTATGTCTGCCCGGGATCCTCTAACCAAGGGGTCCGGAGTAGTTAGGATTGAAATTTTCAGTTGCCGCGTTAGGTGCCTAAAAAGCGGCCACAAGCGGAGGGGCAGGGGTTTGGGCTGGCAGGGCTGTGCCGCAGAGCTTTAGCGGGGGCACAGCAAGGCAGGACTGGCTGTTAGACCTGGAGTGGGAGACAAAGTCATAGACAGGAATCTGGACCGTCTTCCCTTCCGTGATCTCTTTGAGCGTTTTCACGATCAGCTCGTTGTCAAAGGCATCTGAGGAGAGAGGAAACATTACCCGAGGCAGCTTTGCAACCTCTCCCACCCACCAGATGCTGAGCTTAGCCTAGCCAGAGCCACTGGCACCCTGCACTGGGGACAGGCGCACAGACTAGAGAGGAAAGCCCTGCGCATCCCCATGGGCGTAGCAAGGCCCAGCTCTCCCAGAGCCCCTGCGGCTTCGCTGCTTTGCACCAGCCTGGGATCTGGCCCGCAGAGATCAATACCCCCCTTGTACGGTGGCACTGAGAGCCCAGGCTCGGGAAGGCATCTCCTCCTGGGCTCCAGCCCTTGGAGAGACTGGGACAGTGTTTCAGCCTCGAGTGGCCGGACAGACAGGGCTCTGTTTGCTCGGTGCTCACTGCCTCCGGCCATTGTCCTCATGGGGACGAAGGGACAGCGGCTCTGGAATTTCCCCTCCAAGCCTGGAGATGGTTCAAAGACACCCTGTTGTAGCAACAGGGCACGGGCCCCTCGGTGGAGGGGTTTGCAGAGCAGCTGCCCAAGACGGTTCCCTCCTTGAAGGAGGGACATGGAGCTGCTGGCTCCGGGGCGCTGTGCCACGCTAGATCTCCCTGGTCCCGACCCAGCTGTACCAGAAAGGTTTTCAAACTTGGGGTGTTTTTTGCAGGGAGAAGAGGAGCATCTTAAGGAGTTTGAGGGTTTACAACCTGCCCTTTCTCATCCCAAACACTCCATCCCAGAGGCAGTTCCTTTCCCAAAAGAGACAGAGGTTGTACTGCAGGGGACACAGGCAGCCCCCAGCCTCCCTGCCAGGGATGCACCGGGCTCCACAAGAGCTTAACTAAGCCACCCACTCCTGCCCCATGCAGAGACAGAGTCCCAGCGTCCATGCAAGACTCTTTGCTGGTGGAGCAGAGGGGTCCTGCTCCAGCTCCTTTCCCCCCTCACTGCGTGGCAGAGCCCCGGTGCTGTTCTCCATTCACCTGGGTGGTCAAAATTGAACTGGCCTTTGAGCGCTTTGGATTTCTGCTCTGAGGTGAGGACCCGGTAGAAGCTGTCTTGGCTCACGATCACCACCTGCTTCTGGCGGTAGTCCACCTCGTTCTGGCCCAGCAGCTGGACGATCTTGGAGCACACTGAGGACTGGGAAAGGAAGAGCAAAGGAAGCAAGTCAGCGGCAAGTGGTGTCTGAGTCGTGCCGGGACAACGTCCCCCGGTAACAGCCATTCCTGGCAGCATGGGGCACTGCTTGCTGGACCTCCAGCTGAGGGTTCATGTTCCCCTCAAAGGCACAGATCAAAGTCACTGAGGGAAAAGTGCTCCAGAGGCATCGCTGCGGGGCCTTTCAGTGTGAAAGCAGCACCAAGCTTGCTCCCTGCCGGCCTCTCCTCCATCCCTCTGGCTTGCTCACAACTCTTACTCTGGGACCAAATGGCAGCAGGAAACCACTCGGCTGCTGCCTGAGTTCAGCCGCACCCCCAGGGCCCCCATGGCCAGCTCCAGCCTGCCCAGCAGCTCCCCAGGGAGCAGAGCTGCGTGTAGCACCAGGGCTGAGCCTCCTCCCTGGGAGGCAGCCACAGTGCCTTGGCTCCCCCAACCCTGGTCCAGCCCAGAAACCCCACCACAGCCTGAGCAGGGAGGGAGAGAGATCTCAGAGAGGCAGAGCCAGCTTTCTTCATACCCTGAACAAACCCCGGGATGAAAAGACACGGGGAAGAGAGCCCTGGGGCTTTATCAGGGATCTTTGTCACAGCTGCCAGGGCTGGGAGGAGCAGTTGTGAGCATATCCTGGTGCCTCTTGGCACAGCGAGGTTAAGGGCACTGCGGAGCCAGCGGCTGAAGAGCCACGTGGCTCTGACTGCTGGTGCAAGATCCCCACGAGCGCTTGCCGGCGCAGGGACCGGCACCGGGACCGGCACCTCGCGCACAGCGTGGAGCGGGCTGGGTGCCCGGTGGCCGGCGCAGATTCTCTGCTGGCCAAGGGTCACACCGGACCCCGCCACCGCGACACTAAATCAGAGCACAGCTTGGGGGGAAAAAAATCCCAGAGCCTGCTTCAGTCCCTTCTCCTTAGTCATACGAGTCCTTGGCCGCCGCGCAGCACAGCGGTGTTGACTGCATCACTAACTGGCAGCCGGCACGCCGGCCCCGGCCAGCGAGGGCCAAGGTCAGGCTGGCGGGGGAGTGCTCTGCTGCCCGTGGGAGCCCTGCGTGTCAGCCCCACAGCGTCCAGTGCTCGGGGAGAAGCGGGTGCTCCGGGTGCCAGGCTGAGCTGCTTCACCTCCTGCGAATCACGCTTGCCGCAGATGCCCAGCTGAGCCGCTCCTGGCCTCGGTTACCACAAACGGCTCTCCGCGGAGCCCTCTGCTTTGCAAAAAGAGGTTTGCTTGCCCCAGCCTGCCTCCCCCAGCCTGCCCCGTGGCTCTTTCCATGCTCCCACCTCCCTGCTGACTCAACCATCTACCTGGCTGGCAACGTCCAGACGCAGAGCTGAAGGCAGCGGTGGGGAGAGGGAACAGGGAGGGGAATGCATGCCTGGCAGAGGAGGTCACCCCAGCAGGCAGAGGGCAAGGCTGTTTGCCTGAGAAGCTGGAAGATTTGACGGCATTCCTGTCCCCGGGGACCGTCTCTTCCCCTCCAGGCCAGGCTGACCTGACTTGGCTGCGACGGCTGCGCTGTGAGTCAGCCCCAGCCCGGCTGGAGAGCCTCCGCACACAGCAGTGCTGCAGAGCGAACCGGCCCGGGCTGCCCGACAGCAGTCCTTGCGGCCCTGGGCACAACTCTGGGGTTTGGGTCAGGGATGGGGTCTCCCCGAGCATCCCACCTCCTTCTCCTGCCTCTCGCAGCTGGCAAGTTGGGCTCCCCGAGCCACGCTGGCAGCCCTGCCCTGCAGCAAGCTGCTACCACCCAGAACAAAGCACTGCAAGCCAGTGCCAGTCACTTGCCCTTCAGCACACACGGACACAAAGCCGGAGCCCGTTCTCCATTTCCTCTGTTTTCCCTCTCCCCACATACCCTCCAGCCTGTGTTAGCTCTATTGCTTATCCAGCTGCATCCCATAGGTTTTGCAAAAACAGGGGGTGCACAGTGCCCCTCCTTCACTTTTCCTCCCCGCTCTCTCCCCGGGACACTGCTGCCTTCCCGTGCTGCCCGTGCAGCGAGGAGATGCAGCGCAGCAGCGTTCAACCTTGGACACAGCTGCCGAGGACACCAAACTTCCCAGGCCCTTTGCAATTAGGAAGGAACCACCTTCCAGCACAGCCACCCAGGCAGATCCCCGGCCTGTAGGTCAGCAGGCTCCATATGGATCTGCACCACAAACTGCCCTCCCCAGCCCGGGGGAGGGAGCAGGGATGCTTTACCTTGGATCAGTGAAAGCAACACACTGGTTGCACTCACACTGTCCACGTGGACCTCAGCATGCGGATGGACAATAAAACCACTTGAGGGCATCAGACAGTTCCTGCCAGTCTTTCTTCTGCCTTATGCACACTAATGTCTTGTCTACTGATCCTGGAAAGTGGAGAAGAGTCCCCATCAGATCTAAAAAATCACCCTCCTGTTCCATACCCTACAACTCGAGACACCCAATGGCGAGAAAAACCCGAGGAGAAAGTAGCCTTTGGCAGCTGGAGACAGGAACACGTCGTCCCACCAGGGCCCAGGAGAAGGATTGGAGTGTATCTTGGCTGCATTTACCACTCAATGTTCCGGAGTGGCAAGTGCCTCTTGCAAAAGCATCCAGGCAGATGCTACAGACCCTTCCCTTTTCTGTGGCAGGCTTTGGGGAGCTATCAGAAATGGTGGAGAAAGATGATCACAAGGACATCCTGCGCTCAGGACCGAGCTCAGGTTCAGCGTACCGCATTGCCCGGGTGGGCAGGGATGTCACCTCTAGGCTCCGGGAAGAGGCACACGTGTCACCCTGGTGCTGCAGAAGGTGTGGGCCAGGGCACTGCTCACATATCATACCTGCAGAAGTGCAGCAGGACATGGGGACAGCAGGGGACAACGGCATGTTCCTCCAACCCGAGGGTTGCATTCAGCTTGCCTTAGTGGGGCAGCAAATCTCAGCGAGGTCTAAGTGAAGAAGGCTTTTCCTTTCCTCAAGAGCATTTGTGATGGAAACAAGAATGGTTCATAAGGGGCATTCCCTGATGCCAGTCTGAATACCTCCTACAGCTGGACAGGCAGTTTTTCCCCTTGGTTGATAAACACCCTATGTTAGGGAGGAAGAAAAACCAGAAACACAGAGGTTACAAATTCCCCTACGCAGGGGGAACAGAAACTCTCAACCTCAGGAAGCACCCCTCCAAAATGAATGACGCATGTCCCCTGCTTAAACCCCTTTCTCCCAAACCAGCACTGCATACATATGTGTGACTGATGTTAATCAGCAGTCTGAAAAACCCACCAATAACTGGAAATTACAGCAGTTAGGCTCTGGGGAGGCCTGCAGATGCCCAGAAAGACAAAGACCAAAGCATGACTGCTAAGCAGCGTGCCAAGGTGCAACCAGCCTGGACGCACGGTAACCCAGGGGACATGCACTCAGCATCCACTTGAAGGGATAACCTGGGCTCAGATTCCTTCCTTTGCCAATTCCTAACTGCTTCTCCCAGGGGAGACGACGACAATTGTTTCTCCTCTGAAAAGCCCAGGACTGTAGAGGCAAACGGAGGATGACTTGAGGAAGATGGTATGTTGCTATAGATGAATCCCAACACAGAAACTCTGGGATTTGAGCCCCATCCCTAGCTCTGCCCTGCGTGACACAGCTCATCTGCAGGAAGACAAGAGGCATGACAGGGGTCCTTGTCTCCACTCTGCCCCTTCCCCAGATCTACATCGTCTGTGCACACCTCACCATGACCCAAAGAGAACACTGTTGGTGATTCAGCTGCAGCATGCTCCCGGCAACAGGATGCTTTCTCAAGCAAAAGCCTTCCCCTCCTCCAGAACTCGTTTAAAACTAAATATAGACAGGACACAACAGTCTCCGAGCCTCCAAGGTTGCCAGGCGGACCTCTCCCAAGTTAGCCACACGAAACTGATGCAGGGCTTTCCAAGCACGCAGGCAGGGAGCCCCAGCCTCTTCTGCCATCATTCATGGCTTTCCACATGCTGCAGCGAGAGGAACTCAGATCCAGGTTTGAGCAAACTGGCTGCGACCCACTGAGCTGCACTCCCCCAGACTTTGCGCTTGAGCTGCTTCCTGGGAAAGCTGTGCAAACCAACCCACACCCCACACAGATGGTTTGAGAGGGAGGTATCTGCACATCACAGAGCAAGAAGCGAGCTGAGAGTTGTTATTCCTGAACAGAAGCAGCTGCAGCTCCCCTTGCAGGATTCCTCCTCTGAACCAAGCGCACAAATAACCAGTGTTTAAGGAAAAAGTACAGCTTTATTCTGCTGGGAGGGGAAGACGCTGAGGGCACCTGAGGAAGAACTCCAGCATATTTTCCCAAAAGGAGAGAGGTGGTGCACAAGGGAAGAAACTCAACAGACGGGTGTTCAGAGCCCTACCCCTGACATTTATTTGAAAGATATTAATTACATTACATATTTAATTCATAACCACTTATGGCCTATAGCCAGCTGCTCAGATATTCTTGAGGAGTTGACTAATTCCCCGATATTATTATGCAGATTATCCCACAATCCCTCTTGGGTAGCTCTGATCAGCCAGTGAATTAAGCCTTCAGATGGGTATTAGAGAGAGAAAGCTGACGGACAGTGCTACAGTTAACCACCATGTGAAGGTACCAGGCAGGACACAGCTGAGGTTTTCAGCCCCGGGTTTGCTGCGGGGCAGTAAAGGTACTTCTGCTCCTGACTGCTAAGGCCTGTCCTGGGCTAGGAGGATTCCGTAAGCCTTGTGCATGTGGATATGCTAAAACCCACTCACTCAGAGCAATCCATCCAGCCCCAAGGAGCCTGGCACTGCAGAGGGATGGTCACACCAAGCTGCTCACCAGGCTCCCAGTGCAGCAGCAGGGAGGACCTCCCATCCTGCCAAGGACTCCAGACACCTAGCAAAAGTGACTTACGCCAGATAAAGTGATTCCAGCCCTAAAGAAATACTGAAGCTGCCAGTCCCCTTGGGAGCAGGTAAAGGGGGAAGGGCTGTGCCAGAAGCAAGACCTACCAGGGGAGGCACTTGCTGGGCTCTGGTGTGGAAGGAAGAGGCACAGACTCCTGCCACTGCTGCAGGCCGGCCACCCTAATCCAGGATGCTGCTCACCACGAGGACAGTCCTCCCCGAGGGAGCAATGCCCTTGGCCCACAAAAAATGCTACAGCCAGGAGCAAGGACAGACTGCTGCACTCACGTCCCACCTCCTGCCAGGGAGAGAAGCCCAGAGCACACCACTGCCACAATCCCCTTCCTGTAGGATCTGGATGTGAGGAGGCTTGGCAGAGGCTTTCGATGGCTTTGCATCTGCAGGAGCCTAGTTGGGGTGGTTCCTCATCACAGGCTTATGGATAAAAGCATCTCCAGTTTTGGGATATGGCAGGATTTCCCCTAAGATCACATCAGTGACCACTGGGACTACTTGTTGCATTTTTCTGATGTCCCCTGTAGTGTGGTTCCCCTTCCAGGCATCACGGAGGACTGAAATCCTCCAGGGGCCAAGCTAACACTGCCTTTTCCTTCAGCTTATTTCCTGCAGCACACTAGTCACAGATTTTGGTCCCTTTTTGTAAAGTTATGTTAATTATAAGGTATTAGGAAGTGCTTGGTGGACGGGGGTGACACACAGAACAGATATGAAACTGGGAAGGGTCCCAGAGCACCTATTAAAATGTCTGCCTGCGACTGCAGAGAGCTAGTTCATGACCCGTGCAACCCTTTCCAGTCCTAACAGAGCACATCCGTATGGCACTACTGGGACTGGAAACTTGCTATTCTTGTACCAAAAGTCTGGGCCTCCACCCAGAGCTTTCCCAGGCAGGTTCACTACTCCTGCCTTTCCCTTTGTGAGCCACGGGCCAACCAGTCCGGGACTGGGATAGCCAGGTTTCTGTTCACCCACCCTGGGACGCTGTGCATGTGATCAGCAATCCTGGGCTGGAGCATAAACAGGCACATACCAACACAGAGGATCCGAACACAGATTACGCCCGGGTAGGAAAACAATCCCTCCCAATCCACTGGTTTTAGGCGCAGGATATTTTTCTCGAGTGCCTGCTGCAAACTCCATAGCCTGGAGCTGTCTGAGCCCACGGCACTACGGCAAGCAGGCTCCATAATGAACTCGCACATATTCAATCACTAACAGGAAAGGGCTGATCCATCAAAACGTCCTGTGTATCAGTCTGATCAGGGGCTGGCACGGAATAATGTTCTACTAGAAATTTTGACGAGTCTCTAGCACACATTGACACCAGCGTTTGACAAGTCAGACCTTGTGATTCAGGGCTCCTGCCAGCCACGGAACAAGCATCACCAGGAAATGGTGCTGAACCGACACGGGACTGCTGCAATCCCTGCTAGCCCCACTCCCGTGGCTCCCCCCCCGCCCCCTCCCCAGGTCACTGCTGGGTCTCCCCTGGGCTTCTTTGCCTGGCATCCAGGTGGTGACATGGTGGCAGTGACCTCCAGGCTGCTGTGGGGGACCTCAGCCCTTGCTAGCATAGGGGACCAAGCTCTGTCACGTAACAAGCCCCACGTGGAGAGGGAACTGCCTCATGCAGAGATGTGCTGCAGCTGGGGCAACTGCTTCCCTGGGGACCAACACGCTGGCTGTCCCACCCCAGCTGGGCGACACTAGCCTTCTTCAGCCTCCTGGCTAGCTCTCTCTGCCCTAGGCAGCCAGCTCAGCCTCTGGCAGCATTTTTGGTGTTTAAAGCAAAAGTGCCTAATGGATTAACAGCAAACAATACACCTGGCTGAACACACGCTGCAATTTGGGTGCTCTGCTGTCTGGAAACTCTCAGGCTGCCTGTTCAAACAGACATTTCCAGCTCTGTGTGCTAACTCAAGATCTAAATGATGCAGCCACTGGGTCACGGTGGCACCCATATTCAGCCTTCACTAGTCTGAGGAACATGCAGCCAACGAAAGCGTTCAGCCCTTGGTAAATCTGTCTTTCTTACAACCTCCTGTTGGAAAGTAGCAATCAGCACCTCGCTTTGCAGCACATGGGGACAAGAAATTAATGCTTCAGCCTAGCCTGAGTTCAGAGAGCTCTCCTCACCCCTGCAACTGCCCCAGCACCAGATGCTTCCAGTGCTGCTGGGATCAACCCACTCCAGCGCTGCCAGCAAAGCTGCAGGGTCCCAAGAGCTAAGATGAAGTGAGGACACGTGAAGAGCTTATGGAGGTATCCCAACACTTTCCAGCTCATCTCAGTAGTCAGTTTGCTGAACTTTCCTCCAGCCTGCAGCCTGGCTGCCTGCCTTGCATGCTGCAGTCCTTGGTAGTCAGGAATCTCTTGAGGTTAGGGAGGGAAGAAGCTGTTAGCACAAAGACCATGGGCATTAGAAGGAAACACAAGAACTTTAGCGTAGCACTTCAAAGCATATAGAGTGAAAGAGAAAATGCTACAACCAGCCTTGGGAATCCTTCTGAGGAAATGAGGCAGTTGCAGTGTTCTCCAGTTTTGGCACAGGAGTGGGTCTTAATGCCGTGTCATCTCCTCTACATCAGGAGACTGCAGCAAACTTCACCCGGGCAGCACCGTGCTTGGATTTCAGGGGACAGTGGGAGAAATGCCACCTCCCAGCAAGATTTTGTGGAGCCTGTCCCAGCTGAGCTGACACAAAACAGCCACCACGCAGCTGACACTGCCCTCACAGCAGCATCACAGCCTGCCCAGAACCTCTGCGGCTCCTCACTTTTGCTCCAACACAGTCCAGATTTCTTTTAAGAGCCAAGAACAGGAGAGTGTTCAGGTTTCTACCTCATATTTCAGTACCGAAAGTTGCTCAGGCCTCTTTTGCTCACTGGGGAACAGCAGTCAGCCCCTGGATTTGAGTTCTCACCAATCTGCCTTTAAGAAATACCAGCCACACACTCCCCCCAGCTCTTCGGGGAAGGCTGGCCACTTCGGATGCCAGCTTCCCCAGGGCACCACGCGACCCAAGTTGCAGCAAGCTACAGAGAGGATCCCTTCCTTCCACAGCCTGACTGTGCTGGTACATCAAGAGGGATGGGGGAAGTGGGGGGGACACACACGACCACAGAGCCTTTTTGCCCATCTTAGACTCAAAAGCAGCGGTGGAAGGAGCTGGGGAGGGCCTTAGAAGGCAAATGTCCTTCGTTATCTTTGGGCTGGTGTGCTGCCAAAGGGGTGTGTTATGACAACAACCCTCAGTCGGTGTGAAGGGGAGTCGGCTGGATTTGCCACTTTCCCAGCGGAAAAGGTGTCCGCTTCGCTTTCCCTCTGGGATCATTTTCTTTTCACCCAGAACCAGCACACCGGCGCGGCAGCCCCTGGGCTGGATTTTAGCTGCAGGCAAGCCCTTAGCTGAGCAAACCACATCGGCCCCACCACTGCTTTCCCAGAGCGTGCTACGGCACCCGGCATCGCCCGGCACAGGGCACTGCCACTAGTCAAATGGGGGACCGCCCCACGGCACCCCCGCCTTGCAGCTGCATCAAGTGTGAATTTGAGGGTCTGCGTGCACAAACCCCAGGTCCTTTTTTTTCTGTTGCTTCTCCTCGAGCAAGCTTTTTTTTTTTGCCAGCATATTTCTCGCAGTCTTTTCCCCACAAACTTGGTACCGATCTGCTGGATTCCCGTCAACGGGCAGCACTGCACAGAGGTTTTTAGCAGCCAGCAATCACTGGAGGGGCGGAAATCAAAGCTGAGAGACAGGAAAAGCCAGTTAGTACATCTCCCTTGCTAGAAAGAACCATTTCCCTATTTTTTTTCCTACGGCAGACTGCTGCTACTAAGCTTTTTCACTTTGAAGATGAGAACAACTGTGGCGTATTGTACTGTAATCACTGCTCTTACCTTGTGGGCCAGAGACAGAGTGTTCAGAGACATAACAGTTCAGCAGCGCCAGACACGATGTTATTGGGACAGCTAGAGAGAGGCAGACCCACGCATCAGAGAGCAGACAAACCCAGCGCGTTTCAGTCACCAGGAGCCGTACTGCAGGAACAATCCAGCTTTGGTTCCCAGTGGAGGAGATTGCATCCTCTTCTCACCATCCCTCCCCTGTTATATCTGGATTTTTCCCCCTTGCAATAGTAACAGCAGTCCAAGAATCAATAGGGAACTTAGAGACACATTCTTAAAACAGTGTTATTATGGGCTGAGGTACAGCAGTTGGGTTATGCCATCCTTCAGGAGGAGAAAAAGGGGCTCCCCTGCAAACACAAATCAACCCCAAGGTATAAGGCTCTGTCCTCCTCCTGTGATGGCCCACATTCAGTTTCCTTAGCAAGAAATATTTCAAAGCGATTTCTACTTCCAAATCTATTCATGCTCTCTGAAACACCTCTTAAAAACGCAGGTAGAATTTCTGTGCATAGAAGGGCTGATTAGCTGTGGATCTGGTTTTACTGCTCCTAAATAACAATAAAAAAGTCATTTTCTTTTCATGTTAGGATAGAAAGCAACCTACCTCGAGTTAAACAAATAAAGAAAAACCCATCGGAAGAAATAACTAGAAATAAAAGCCATAACGTTGCCGGAGTTGCCCTGCGCTGCAGTTTGGGTGTAGCAGCCCTCCAGAAAAACCCGCATTAAGGCCGGCGCGGCGCGGCGCGGCCCCCCCGCAGCCCCCGGCCCCGCAGCCCCCCGCTGCCAGGGGCCAGCCCCTCCCGGGCACAACCGAGGAGGTCGTTCTGCCTCTCTGAGTCAGCATTTATTGCAGAATTTCTACTCCTGCTACCCCCCCTCCAAAGTTGGCCAGAAAAGGGCATCATCCCTCCACCTCCACCCCCCCCACCCTCCCCCGCCGCCGCCGCCTTCTCGCACGACCGACACCATTAATAAATAAATAAATGCACGGCGACCAACGCATGCCGCGGGGCGAGCAGCCTTTGGGGACGCGGCAAGGGGATGGGTGGCGGAGGGCAAGCGCTCGGGAAAGCCGCGGGTTTTGCCGGGGGGGGGGGGGGGGCGGTGCCGCCTCCATCCCGGCCGCCGAGCTCCCGCAGCCGCCGCCCGGGCAGAGGCCTCCGTTCTCTCCGCCGGTTCGTTTTGTTTTGTTGTTGGGGTTTTTTTGTGTTTTTTTGGTTTTTTTTTTTTTTGTTTTTTTTCCGATCGCCGGGGCAGCGCTCCCGCCCGAGCCGGGCCGTTACCGGGCCCGGCGGGGCCGCGCACGTGGCGGGGCGGCCGCGCTGCCATGTGGCCGCCGCGACCGGAGGGAGCGGGGAGGGGACACACAGACACACACACAGACGCTGCACCCCGGGGCTTACCCCCCCCCCCCACGACCACCACCCCCCTCCCCACCCTCGGATCCCGCCGCGAAGCCCCCCGCACCTTGCCGCTGGCCGTGCCGCCGCTGACCCCGATGAGGAAGGGCTCCCCGCCGCTGGGCTGCCCGTGCTCCTCCAGCCTCTGCTCGCTGTCCCCCGCCATCCTCCTCCTCCTCCTCCTCCTCCTCCTCCCCCCCCCCTTAGCTAGCAGCCACGCCGCCTCCTCCGCCTTCCCTCTCCGTGCGGGGCTGGATTTATCTGATGAGTCAAGGGCCTTCCTCCCCGCCTGGTTCACATCCCCGGCGCTGCGGCTCCCTGCCAGGTGCCTGCCGCAGCTGCACATGCTCCGGCCCAGCCTGCCGGCGGGGCGGCACGCCGCGACACGACACGACACGGCGCGACACGGCGCGACACGGCGGCCGCGTGGGCCCGCACCTCGCCACCGCCCTCCCCCGCCCGGGGACAAAGGCGATGCGGCCGCCTGGCATTGTCCCCTCCCGTCCCACAGCAACCAAGGGCCGTCCCCACCACCACCTCCATTGTGCGTCCCCCACCTCGACTTCTCCCACCCCAGCCGGGCCCTGGGCCCGCGAGCACTGAGGAACGCTTATTGGCGATCCAAAACCAGGAATAAAAAGTATGCTTATGTCTTTGGCAAATGGGACCCGTCTGGGAGGAGCCGCGAGCGCTCTGGAGGCCAGGATTCAAAGTCAAAATGCTCTTGACAAAATGGAAAAAAGGCGCGGCAAAATGTAGGGTGCGCGTCCACGCGGGCCAGTGCCAAGTGCTGTACTTAGGTTGGGGTAATTATCCGTGGAAATGCAAGATGGGAACCTGTTGGGCAGCCAGCCCTTTCCCAGATAAAGATCCTTGAGTACAGTGCATCAGAGTCAACGCCATGCCGCTGTGAAAAAGGCAATCATCCCACTGGGACATATAAAAGTGGGCAGGACATGGTAGATAACCCTCTGCCCGGTACCAACACCACTGGGCACGGTGTTCCAAGAAAGGTGAGGCCTGATGGAGAGATTCAGCGGGGTCTCAGGAGCAGCCTGGGGTCTGGCTTTGCAGAAGGATGGCAGGAACCAGGCGAGTTTAGTCTGGGGAAGAGATGGCTGTGGGGACACATGATGATAATAGTTTACAAATACATAAAAAGCTGCCACAAACAGGAAGGGAATACATTTCGCATACCCCTGGGGATCAGAACAAAATGTTGCCAGCTCAAATTGAAACAAGGGCAATTCAGGATAGACATTCAGGGACACTTTCGAAGCATGAGAATGGTCAAATCCTGGAATAAGTGGTTTGGGGAGAGTAAGGACTCTCCACCGTTGTGGATTAAAAAAAAAAAAAATGCACTAGGTAAGCTCCCGTATAGAATGTTTTTAGCAGAGTTGATCCTGCATTGGGGCAGGGGATGGCCCAAGCAGTGCCCAAAGATTCCTCCCAGCCCTGTTCACAGGATCGTAACTTTCATCAAGGTTTTTATCTTCCCGCTTCCATACAGTGAAAGAGGTGTGGAAACGGGAACCACGTCCCAGCCCTCACCACGCAGGATGTGAGAGAGGATCTCCTGGGAAGGCACAGCCCCTCTCTGCTCACCGCTCCCAATTCCCCTCCAACCATGCCTATGCTCTCCGCTGCCAGCCCCTCTGCTGCCCTGCTTGGGGACAGATAAAAACCTGTGCTGTGCTGAAGCTGTTTCAGACTGTGTCGTCTGTCCAGCTCAGAGTTCAGCATCTCTGCAGGACGCCCATCGTGGCATCCCATCTCCACTTCCCCTTCTCAACCAGATGCTTGACACGTGGCAGGAACAGATGCGCTTGTAGAGGGAAGGAGAAGTAAATGCCTCTTGATGGGCCCTCGAGGGGTACCAGCTAAGTATATTCAAGGTGTATTTCTACAGAACACAAGGACAACTTGCACAGATCACATTAACGGCTCTTTCAAAACCAGGCCAGGGCTGTAAACTGGAAATGAACCAAATCCAAGTCCGAGTTAGTTTTAGGTGGTATCTTCCTTCAAAACTTATCTGAGAATTTTACACACCCTTCTTCCTAGCTGTCGGTCACTAACATACTGCGCAAAGCAACTTAATCTTCAGTTTAAGTCTGGAGACTTCAGTATATGAAACCTGTTTGGACATGTCTCTCTATAAACTGGTTTTGAGGTTACCTCCATAAATATTACCTCTGCTGTATCTAGAATGTTTGTACACTACACTGGCCCCTAACTCATGCGTCCAGAGTCATGTATTAAGCAAATGCTTTCCTTTTTCTCATATCCCAGGCTTGTTAGATAGAATCAAACTGCACTCAATTCTTCATCTGTTCTTTACTCGTTGATCAAAGCACAGAATGCTGTTTCTAAAAGGAAATGCCATTGAGAGTAACATGCCTTCTGTTGTCTGAAAAAAAACCTGCTGATAAGGATCCTGGCGCAATTCAAAATGACAGGATGAAATTAAAGAGCCTGTGTCACCTCTACCTCCAGTTCAAAGCACAGACACTAGAGAGGAAAGAGGTTCATGTCATTGTTTCCTCCTGGCCTGGCTTCTGCTGCACAAGTGTTCTGTGAAAGACCACGTTCACTATTGATAACCAATGCCATGTGAATCATTTCCCACAGTGGTATAAGAGAAACTATTTCCAAATATTGCCTTGATTGATAGTGATACATCGCACAGTCAGGAAAGCCAGGGAGGTCTAAAAAGAGCGAGAGAGGGCGGAGGACGGCATACAGCACAGCCAAGTGCACAAGGTGGCACACAGCAGGGCACAAAATACATGAGTCCTGCCGCACCATCAGCCATTAATATCTTCCTGCTGCTCACCCTAAACTGAAGTATCCCATCCTTAATTTCATGGCTCCCACTCCTATTGGACTCCTGTTGCTCACGGCCAGGAGTTGTTGCTCGCAGTTCTCCCCTCCATCTTGCAGAAAGCTCCACGTGCCCGGAGGCAGCGCTGGGACTTTCCTCGGGGTACAGAGGGTGCTTAGCTGCAACTTTCAGTGACGCTTAGTCATTGCTTAGCCACCTGCACGCGTGTTGCTTTCGCGTTTCCTCGTATGCAAATGTCACCAGGCTCTGGAAGATTTGTTTGCTGTCTAACCTCACACTCACTTACTACCTGTGCTGCCTTCTCTGAACTATGGTTTTGTCACCGTCTTTCTGCATGGCGTGTTTAAGGGCGATGGTGGGGCTTTTTACCTTATTTTCACTCAGTGCTGTGCATGTAATCCCACAGGGCATCACTCTTCACTGACGGCAAACTCCTCTGTCACACAAGGACGGGCACAAACCTGCCTTTCCCTGCCTGCCCTGTTTCCTTTTCTGTATGCCTGCTTTCTAGGTCTCCTTACCCCATTACAACTTGTGGATTTGGTCTAGTTCTGTTGCTCCAGGTGTAACCGCCGGAGCCTCAATAAAAGTCAATTAGTCTCTCTGCTAAATCCTTGCCATTATTTCACTGTCCTCGTTAACATTCTTCTTAGCCTCATCCCACCCGTGAATATTTATCACAACGCACATTAATGTGAGATTTCCTTCCCTGCTCCCAGCCCATTGAATCACTGATGGCAGTACTCTGCAGCTGGCTGTACGAGGGGCGCACGGGCCAGCAACAAACCCTGGTCCAAGGTGGGCAGCAATATTTGTGACTACTGGATCCCTGAAAATGGCTCCTGCTGCTACGCGGAAAGAGGGTGTTTGTGTCATTGGCAAATCAACCCGGGCCACCATTTTGGAAACCAGAAAGGCCGCTCCAAGCCGACCCCTTCGTGGTTGTGAGGAGTATGTTCAAGAAAAGCCGACGCCTCCTGCGTCTTCCCCAGGAAGCGGCTCAGAGCCGTGTGGGCATCGCCGCCCGGCAAGACGAGGGGAGGGCCGCGCTGGCAGCAGGCACCTCACGTCTGGCCCTGCCCAGGTGTCCCAGGCTTGCGGGGGTGCTGGGGCAGGAGTACGGGCCCCACCCCGGCCGTGGGGGAAAGCGTCTGGCCCCGGCCCCGCTCCCCAGAGAGCGCCGCGCCCGGGCCCCGCCACCGCCATGTCAGGGCAGGCTCCCGCCGGCCTGCGCGAGGGGCGAGGCCCCGCCGCCAGCACTGACAGCCGCTTCGCCCAATCAGAGCAGCGTCTCCCCGCGCTTTCCCCGCCCCTCGCTCTTCCCGCGGCATTGGCCGGCGTCGTTTCCAGGAAGTGCGGCCGCTTGCTTCCGGCCGTTGCTAGGCGACGTGCCCCCCCCCCGGTAGCTTCCGGGTGGCGGGGTCTGTTTCCGGGAGCGTGGCGGCGTTACCGAGGTAGCGGGGGGGGGGGGCGGTGGTACCACCATGAGCACCATGTTCGCCGACACCCTCCTCATCGTCTTCATCTCCGTGTGTACGGCGCTGCTGGCCGAGGGTGAGCGCCGGGCCGCGTCCCCGCTTCGGCGGGGCCGGGCTGGGGCAGGGGAGGCCCCGGCGCCGGTCCGGGCCCAGCGGTGCCGCCCGGGGAAGGCGCGGGGTTGCCTGTGTCGCGTCGCCCCTGAGCGCCGGCGGGGAGCGGGGTTGCTGGGGGAGGGTGGGACGGGACGGGAGAGCGAGCGGGGGTCGGGAGGAAGAGCAGGACGGTGAGGGTGTGAAACGAGGTTCAGCCACTCAGGGCCACCGCAGGCCTGGTGTTTGGGCACTCCGGAGGTCAGCGGTGAATAACTCTTGGACAAAACTGGCCTATAAGGCAAAGCGGTGGGAATTGGGGTTGTTTTGTCTAAAAGGAGGAAGGCTGTGGGAGGATGAGCTAACAGTGTGCCTGAAGGAGGACGCTGGTGCTTTTCTGTAGTTGTTGTCAGAAGGATGTGGAGAAATTTCCCGAACTTGCAATGGCGGTGACTTGGTCTGCTTGAAAAGGCTTTTTAAATGGTACGGTGTTGAAATAGGTGCAGCTTTTCAAGGAAGGGTTTGACAGCTACTTTTTGGGGTAGTCAGTCAGAGACTGCTCCATCTTCCTGGCACTGAGCTCTATCCCCAAATCGCCTTAATCCCTGAGCTGTAAAAAACACCAGTTTTGGCCATTCTAGGGCAGGGAGAGTCCCAGGTGGAATATGCTACTTACTTTTTAGGAGCCCTACTGTACTGCATTTGGGGTTAGATGGTGTACATATCCTTTACCTTTCACAGAACAAAACTGTTGACCTCAGAAGCG